AGACTTCAGTTAAACATTTAGACTTTAATTTGTTTTAACACAGTTTTCTAAAGAAGCAGATTATTTTTTGACCATTCTGTAATGTTCAGAAAGTTCATGGTGATCTTTTTTAGTGGAGTATCTAGTGAAGTAATATTATCATTCTGTAGCACACTGGAAAAACCTTCCCATGTTATCAAAGCAGTTTCCTTAATGAGCTATCAAAATTATTATACCTGGTCACATGGTCTCTTTTATGGGTGGGCTATTATGTTTGGCAAAGAAATGTGGCACAGCACATTTATTTGAAGAAATCTTTCCCTCTCTGGAAGAAACATGTAATCTTGGTACAGCACTGTGGAAATTTTGCCTAGCGTTATTGTTTGAATATTCTGGCATAGGGCTTCTTTATTGAGGAGATTGCTACATCTTCATTTACCATCTTCCTGTGGATGTCTTTGAATGCTCATGACAAATTAGAAGTTGTTTTTGTATCTTTGTCTTAACTATGAGACATGGTATGTAACAATGGTTCATTATGCACACTCTTAACCACTGGTAGTACTTTAAGAAGTTCTTAGAACTCTACATAATACAATGGTCCAAGCAAAAGTAGTGGTCCAGGCTAGCTTGTTCTTGTTTCACTCTTTTGTTTGTGCAGGTAGAATGAATAGGAAGAAATACATATGGCTGGCCTAGAATACAGAGGCAGGGTTGGCTTCTTGGGCAAGTGACCTGTAAAATCACATGGGGCACCATGCTCAGATGGGCCCAGCTCTTAGTTTTAGGCTTTGGTGTCACCATCCTGAAATTTTGCATATTTTTTGAACAAATGTTGCTGCATTTTCACTGTGTACAGGGCCTGAGAATTCTGTAGCAGGTTCTGTCTTTGGGTCATAAGATGTTTTATTGACTTTAAGAAGATCTCAAATATTGACCAAAAGAGAAGGAGATGAGGTGAAGGGAACCCATGTTAGAATAATTAGAACCCATCTGCATTTATGTTGTTATTATAATATGGGTCTTTGAAAGGGAAGATTTCTGTTTTATGTCAAAAACTTCCTGCCTCCTAAATTCCTGTATTTACAAGTAAAAAAAAAAAAAAACATTCTTTGGGAGTGGAAAGAAATAGGGTGTGGATCCAGGGAAATGTGAGTTTTTTTGTTGCTGCAATTGTTGTTTGTTTGTTTTTCTCTTGAGCAGCTTTGGTTGGCAAATGTTGCTCTGTTGCTCAAATTCCAGGTTCAGGACTTTCTGTTGCTCCTTTCCAAAGGAAGGCAGTTGTAGGCAGGTGTTTCTACTTGTGATTTCTACTGTTGTCTAACTTTTGACAGAGTGCCCCCTCCCTTATAGCTATGTTCATTTGTTACCCCATCTGTGAAGCACACCCTGACCACTCCTCTTAAAATTGCCACCCACTCCCACCTTCACTTGGGAGGTTCCCAAGGCTCTTTATTTCTCTTCTTTCATATAAATGCATAAGGCTCCACACATAGGAAGTGCTTAACAATGATTAATTGAGCAAAGGCCCCCCCAATGTGCTACGTCACATTTCTTTGCCAAACATAATAACCCACCCATAAAAGAATGAGTTGATACACACATCCCTAATGGTTAAAGGTAGGCCTGATGAGACTACAAATGGCAGCTATCTTGTTACCTGCCTGCTCAGTTGATTCTGTTCTCTGCAAATTGATTCTAATTCTCAGAATTCATCTCAGCTCAACCCTGGAACAGAACTGTTTCTGCAAGTCTGTGATTTCTAGATAGTTTCAGAACCAGGAGTTTTCCAGTTTGAGCATTTCCATATTAGGAACAGTCTTTTCCAATGTCCCCATAGGAGGAGAGATAAGACAAGGTGTTCCTTGTGGAGGAGGATGTCAAGAGCACATAGAGTGGTCATCCTAAAAAGATCTCTCTGAGGGGAATCTACCCAGGCCTTTTTTACTATTCTTCATGCTTACTTCTACAGAATTCTTTAGAGATTCTGTGGGGACACATTCAAGCCTTCATCCCGCTTCTTTCAAAATGCTGAAGACATTGATATCATCAGTTCTAACGACCTTACAAGTGAATTTCAAATTATGACTTCAATAGCTCTCCCTTTATATCAGAATCAGCTATTTATTAAAATATGTACTAACTTGAATATAGCCTCAGGAGACTTTTTAGGCGTGAAAAATAATATTTAATCAGTTTGAAGCAGTCCTTTTTAAAAAATATAGGTGCAAACTGAACTCTTTGGCAAAGGGGTATTTTGACCACAAATTTGCTAAGGGAAGAGTCGGTGCATGGATGAAGTAATGAAGAAAGAAGATCAAAGTAAGTAATTAAGTAGAGTGTATATTTGGTACTCCTACACTGAAGTACTTTCTTTTAAACAATTGTTTCTGTGTAGTTTTATAATTTTTGCCTTCACTGTCTTTAAATCTTCAAGAAGACTTCTGACTAGTCTAAAGTTCACTTTACAAATACAAGAAATGAATGGCATCACTACAGTAATTTAATTTTCAATTAGAGAGCCCAAGTGCCATATTCCATCTACTTAATTTATTTTTATTTTTAGAGGAAGCGCGTCACTTGTTTCTGTCAAATTATAGACCTATACGTTTATTTTTTCAGTTCTTTGAAAAGTGGAAATAATGACTTTTAAGGCACTTGAAACCAGGTGAAATAAATAGATGAGCAGAGATTATAATTCAAACAGATCTTAGAGTTTTAAAGTTTTTTTTTCTTCCAAGGTGCAGTCTGTGAGTTGGTGTGTCTTGGTACATTAGGCAATTGCCTTCTGATTTTTTTTCTTGAAGTACATGGACGTTATTTCAGTGTAGGAAAATGGTTAAGATGAGAGGATTGCCTCTGAGTGTTAGTCTAGGTCAGAGACTGTGAAGATTATAAGTACTTCCAAAAATGAAATAATCCTTGCAAGCTTCCTGGATACCATATATTTTCATTTTCCCAGGAAGAAAGGGAATAGTGAGGTGGTTTCCTGGGTAAGGCCAGGGTGGAGAAAGCTGGCACTTTCAGGGCCCCAGGAGGGAGGAGGTTGGTGTGTTGTTTCCATGGACACACTACTGCTCCATTTCCCCTCTAGGTGATGACCAATGTGACTGGATTTAGCCTGGTGAGGTGTAGGCGAATGGGAATTTGTTCCCATAAAGTTTTTCCATTTTTCCCTACAACTTTTATACAAGTATATTACTTCTAAGCTACAAGTACTTTGTGACCTTTGAAATTTTGCTTAATTCTTTCTACTGGGTGTGTTTAGGTTAATGGAATAATCCAAAAATTAGTTCTTTTTTTTTTTTTTAATCATCAAAAAAATCCATGTGTCTGTATATTTAGGAACTTACTACCCCCTGGACTGCTTTTAACTTATTAGGATCCTGCTTGCATTTGGACCCTCAGTGAAAATTCCTAGTCTTCCTGGATAACTGCATGCAGCCATATCTTTGGAACATGTGCTACTTCAGTATGAGTTTTAAGGTGCACTGGAGGTAGTACAGGCTTAACCTAGGGTATGCCCCAAATCAAAAAGGAAAATACAGAAGCATCTATTTTTACATTTCATTGAGGACATGATTTCATTTCATTAAGAGACAGAAGCATTCTAAAGAGCTTGTGATCATACATCTCACATAGTCCAGTAAAGCAACCTTTAGACGACAGCTGTAATGTAAAAGATCTATGCCAAAAACAACAGAGGGGAGTTCCTGTCCTTTCAAGCAGGACAGCTGAAATGGTGGTGGGGTTTTAACAGCAAAACAAAACAAACAACAACCCAAGCCAACGATTTCTGAAGAAAGGAAATATAATGATTAGAAGTTAGACATGTAAAAAAAAGTATTATCTTATGGAAGAGTGCCAGCCTTATCAATGGACTCCCGGTTCCTTACCACTGGCTAAGAAAACATTTTAACGTATTGAATCCTTCCTAGGTGGAACTAAGACACTGTATCTATTTCATAAAAATCTTAAATTAGTTATGCTATGAGAATTTGAATTATTAGTTTTGCTATGAGAATTTGAAGAGACAAGAAAAACATCCTCCTTACCCACACTGATTAAGTATCAGTTTTTTAAAAAGTACTCATTTCTTCCTGACAGCTAATTTCAGTGGCAAAAAAATATGAGAAATTAGGTGTTGATTTTCAAGGTTTTTTCCCCCGTAAAAAAAAAGTGTATTAAAAGTTGCAACTAATGATAAATGATTGTGTTATGAATTTCCAGGTTACTGCCAAGTGCAGTGTTTAAAAGTTTTTTTTTTTTTTAAATAGCTGAATCATTTAAGAAAAGTAATCCATTTGTTTCTTTGACTCTTTCCCAGAACAAGCATAAAAAATGCACTATTTTTCTTCCCGGCATTAACGAAATATTTTCCAAATCCATTGCATGCACCACATTCCTCTATCAGGATCTTATTCAGTTTATGACTGTACTGGAAACTGATCTCTGAGAATTAATCTGATACATGCTTTTACCTACTTTTCTCTTGTTCAATGCTTAGCTTAAATATACCAACTTTCATTTTAATTGTTAGGCTTTCTGGAACATACTATGACACTACAAATAAAAAGTTTCAGATCATTTGTTTTAATTCTTTTTCTCCTCCCCTTTTAAAAAATCCAAACTTTTTGCTGCATTCATTGCTTTAAAAAGTTTCCAAGCTGGGGACCTGCTTTTTGATCTAATGCCTGTCAATTAGAAATTAAAGGAGAAACAGTATTTTTAAGGTGTACACAGAAGCCGAATGATAGTTAACCAGACTGCCTTAAAAGCTTTTGATTGTTGTTTAAAACATAGAAACTGTCTGTGAAAATCAGGAACAATCGCCCTGAACTCAGGTTCTAAAGCCCAAGAGTTATAAAGGGTCACAAGGGTTAAGAGAAGCAGAGATGCATTCATGAAGGCTGAGGGATCTGTTTATCCACTGAGGGGGGCTCAGCAACAGGGACAGCTAGCAACCAGTGCTGTTCCTCTAAGCAACCACCTTAATGAGTTATAACCATATGCAGACTTACTGTGATGGCCTGGAGTCTTCCCTTCACAAGCTCAGCTTCTTCCATTCTACAAGTCAAGAGCAGGCAGACGCTGAAGGAAGTCCAAAGCTACCATAAATCAAAGAGCCTCCTTGGGGAGAGGCACGGAGGTGATAGAAGAGAAGCAGGGAGAAATCCACTCTTTGCACCAGGGAGAAATGGAGAAATTCCCTACTTGTCAGGAGCGTCTCTGAGCAGATGCACAGATCAGGCCAGACAGACACATGTAATGAGGGTGTGCTGGGGAGGCAGACGCTGAGGCTGCTGGCACGAGTTGACTGACAAGTTTGAACGGCAGCAGCACAAGCCCTTTTCCTTCAGGAGCTGCCAGCTCTTTGTTGTAATGTGCACAGTTAGCAAGGCACATTTTCTTATTAACTGTTCCTTACCCAATTCATTATTTTCCAGGATTGGCACAGGGAACCAATGCACTGTTTAATCAGACTGTTCTCCAGCAACACACAGCTGTCCCCGTATGCGTAGGTCTGTGTGTGTTTGCAGGAAGTTAGTTCACCTGCACTCTCACTCCAGGATTACAAAGAGAGAGAGTCTCACCTCAGTTGGACAGAAGTGCCAAGTCACTTATTTGTCTTTCTCCCTCTGTTTGGCTTTGAGCAATAATAGAAACTTCTATAGTTACTTTAGAACTTCACATAGTGGTAAATTTACATCAGGCTGTCCTCCTCTCCCACCTCCCCATTTGTAGCAGTTTGTTGGAGACTTTGGAATCTTAGGTCATGAAGAAATCAAAGGTGTTAAGGTGATGATATTAAAAAGCTGGCCCTCCAGGAGTGCTCAGTGCACTTTAAACAGCAAGTGCCATGCTCTGCTGGTGCCTGACTTGGATTTCTATGGAATGCAGTTCTTTCTTGGACCTCATTCAGAAATGGCACTCTGGGCTTCCATGAGGGTGCCCATTTTGACCTCACCAGTTACGCAAGAGAGAGGAGTGAGCCTTTGAAAGTGTGATGAGATGTTCTGTAACTGCTGGCAGCCCGACCCTGCGTGGACGTTCCCTTGCCCTTTAGAAAAAAGGAGTGAAACCCAGTGAAGCTCTTAGGTTGAAGCAGAGACCAGGAAACTTTGCAATTGACTTTGTTTTCTTTTCTGGGATAGTTCTTTAATTAAATTTGGATGCAGTCAACCCTAATTACCATCTACCTCATTATTACATGTTTGGATACTATCAAACACCTTCATATTAACAGCTGAAGAGTTTAAAAAGACAAACCAAACTTTGAACATAAGGTTTAATTTCCTTTGTTTCTGTTATTAATAATAGTAATGGCTAATATTTACTGAGCACTCTCTATGGGCAAATGAGTTACATCCTATTTATTGGACAAGGTGCTGAATAATAAATGTGTTATCCCTATTTAAAAATGAGGCAACAGGTTCAGGGAGGTAATTTTCCACATAGCTAATAAGTAGCAAAGTCAGGATTGGAACTTCAATTGTCTGGTCTTACAACAGCCCTTCATCAAGGTCTATCCAAGGGCACAGGCAAGGTAAGTCACAGGCTGATGCCTAAGTTAGTCTTATGAAGAAGGGTTGAACCTGCTTTCCTCCTCCATCCAGCTCCCAGAAAAATTACAGCTGGTGTAAAACCCTCCAACAGAACCCTGTGGGATTCTCCTTTGCAGAAATTTAGGGGCCCTAATGAAATAAGATTTTCGTGTGTGTGTGTGTGTGTGTGTGTGTGTGTATGTACATATATACACACATATATATGTGTGTGTGTGCATATATATATATATATATATATATATATATATATTTTTTTTTTAGCTTCCCAATCCCAGAGCCCAATCCCAAGATGAAGCTCAGCAGTTTCAAGAGTCTGAAATTATACTTGGGTGTAGTTTATCTTTGTTTTTACATCCTCAAAAGAGACACTTGGGGGGAATAGAGAGTACAAGAATTGTTTAGGCATGGGCCAAGTTTGCTACTATTGGATGGATATTTAAGCTTAAAAAAATCAAACCCTCAAAGCTTTCAATTTTGTTTATCTGCAGATCTTGGCTGAAATTAAAGACAAGAGAGTAGCAGTGGTAAATATAAGTCAGAACTGCATATCTGCTCCCCAGAACAGATGGGCAGTCCTCCAATTATTAATCTGGATCCTTTTCTAAAATCAAATTTTCCCTCAAATCTCATTTTTACTATAGGAAGTACAAAGTTTTCTTTTTTTTTTTTAGTGTAAGTAAGACTAGATAAAATAAGAGGATCAGGGAATTAAGAGAGGAGCAAAGTTGTGTCAAGTAATTGGTATTGTCATGTGTTTGTTCATTTGTCTAGTTGATGCTACAAACACTTGCTAATATTTTTAAAGCGGGTGTTGTTCATTCATTCTGCACATATTTATTAAACACTTGTCCAGCTCTATGTTAAGTGTTTGGAATATATAAGTGAACAAAATTCCTGCTCTTTTGGAATTCATCTTGTGGTAGGCAGTAAAAGATAAATGTAATAAATAAGTAGAACATAATAGGTGAGAAGATGATTATGTTATTCTGAATCTTCTGAGAAACAAATGCCAAGGTGGGCTAAATGTGCAAAATTTTATTAGAGGAAATAAATATATGAGAGAAAATGTGGAGGAAGGCGATAAAGGCTGGGGAGGTATGGGAAATCCAAGTGGGGGAAAGAGGGAGAAAAGTTGTGTGGAAACAGCTTAATCAGCAGGGCAGTCTAAGAGATATTGGTAAGGTCATTGAAGAGTCCTGGAGCCAAAGTCAGCTTACCAGAGTGGTCCTATGTGTCCCAGGAAGGAGCCTACCTTAGCATTCTTGCCATGTTCAATCATTGCCTAGGAGCAGCCCCTGGAAAACACAGCCTGGATGCAAATGCACAGCCTGGATTTCGGAGTACACCATCTGAGACCCTTGTTCAATTTTACTTCTGTAGTTGGTTGTCTGAGAGGTACTTTCTCATGACAACCTCTGTGATAATGTTATGGAAAGAAAGAGTAAAGACTTCAATTTAGAATACAGTCATTAAGATAGGTTCAATGAGACAGGAGTCTTTGAATAAGGTCTTAAAGGAGAGGTAGGAATTAGGCTACCAGAGCAAGAGCATATCAGGAAGATCTTGTGCAAAAGCTTCAGGGTGGGCCGTCATTAGCACATTGTAGGATCAAGACTGGGGTGATTAGTCAAGGGGAAGGGCAGGAGGGGTAACAGGAGATGCTGCTGAAAATTTCACAGGTTCCAATTGATGCACAATCTTCTAGGCTTTTGAAAGGACTCTAGATTTCACTGTGTGGAGTGAGAAGCCACTGAGATGTTCTGAATAGGGAAAAGTTTTGCAAGGATGGAAAAAGAGACTAGGCAGGATGTCATTGCAATCCATGTGAGAGATGATGGTCAATTTGGTCTAAGGTGGGAACAATGAGGACGGTGGGCATTGATTAAACTGTGGACAGTTCATCCATAGTTTAATACTCTTGATAGAACCAACAGGGTTTCCTGAGATTGGATATAGAGTTGAAGAAAAAGAGAAGATTTTGAATAATTCTAAGACTCCAGATCTGAGCAAATGCAAGTTGCCATTATTTGAGATAGGAAATTTGGTGAGATTTTTGTTTTTCTTTCTTTCTTTCTTTGGATGAGGATGAATACCAAGAACTCGGTTTTCAATAAGTCATTTTGTTATCCATATGGCAATGTTGAATAGGCAATTGGATATGGAATCTGGAGTAGAGGAACAAAATCTCAAAGTCTCTTATAAAATTTATTATATCTTTAGAAGTAAAATGGATCACAAAATATCTAGAATCATTTTTTTTCACAAAATATCATATTCTACTGAGCTAGAATCCATTAAATGTTAACTATGTATTCATGGACAAATCCAGCCTTTGTAAAACAGATAGATATTCAATAGAGCTTTGCCTGTTCTTCATTATCTTACTAAGCTGGCTTTACTAAATATTTTATTCTTTGACAACCAGAGTAAATGATGATGGCAAGAGTTAAAAGTTATAATTCCTTAGCTGACCTCATATCAGGAGTTCAGGGGTACGAGAGATTCTGAATTAGTGCCTCTTCTTACAATGCATTTACTGTCTGGTTGGAGAGGTAAGATACATATGTGAAGTAATTAAAGGAACAAATAGTGAACCAGATATTGTTATGCTCTGCTAAAACAAAGTGATGGCAATGGAGCTGCTTGAGGCTAGGATGGTGTGACATAGCAGTGGCATGTGGCACATAGAGTAAGCCCAAGAAAAATTAAACAAGGTAGAGGTTAATGTGAGTTGAAGGACAGCTACCACAGGGAAAACAGGATTTAAATGCAGAAAACATATTTGTAAGCATAAAAGGGAGGGAAACATGATGTGGTAGAGGTCCGTGAAGGAGACTTTCCTGCCTGAAGTGGAGAGAAGAATTAGAAAGATTGACAGAAACACACATCTGTATGTAGAACTTGATGCTAAGGAAGGGAATGAGGGGAATGGGAGAGAAAAGATAAGATTCACATTTCAGGAGAATAAAACTGTCAACTTTTCTCAGAACACACAAAAAGAGGGAAATATTAGGTAAGAAGATCTATTTGGAAGGTAGGAAATGTGAAGTGTGAGTGCCTGTGGAAAAAATAATAAAAAAATGCCATGTTCTATAAAAGAAAAGGTCATCAGAATTCTTTACAACCTTCAGAAGATATGAACCCAGAGGCCCAAAGTGCCTAGTTATGGTTTGAATGTCATCTCCAAATCTCAATTGAAATGTAATCACCATCTGGACATGGTAATGCATGCTTGTAATCCCATAGACTAGGGAAGGAGAATTGGAGGCTGAGGCAGGAGAATTGCAAGTTCAAGTCCAGCCTCAGCAACTTATAGAGGCCCTAAGCAACTTAGTGAGACTCTGTCTTAAAATTAAAAAGAAAGAGAAAAAGAAAAAGAAATTCAATTACCATTGTAAAATATTAAGAGGTGGGACCTTCAAGAAGTGTTTAGGTTCAGGGGTACCACCCTCAACTATGGATTAAGTGGATCAGACAGAGATCTGTAAGTCGGGTGATCACACATTTGACTAGAGAGGAAGCTGCTTTACTTTCATCTGGGGTGCTCTATGTAGTCAGGATCATGATATTATCATTTCTTTGTTAGATAAATTTGAGCTTCATGGTTTAGAGGGCAAATGGGCTTCAAGATGGTCTACAGTGCAGATGCTTATCTTACATGAATTATCCATGGCTTTGGGTACAGTTGATCCCTCCTTCTGTTTTTCTTTCTTTGACTCACTTCCTTTACTCCTGCCTCACTCACTCGGTGCTCAATTGCTCGTGATTCTTCTCTATTGCCATCTCTTATTCCCTAGAGATCTTAGGAAGTTTTGCTCTAATGCTATTTAGATACCAAGACTTCTGGATTTATTTTTCTAGCTTAGACTGGAAATTAGGATCTTGGACTGTCACCTTTACCTGGAACTTACTTCCTCCAGACACCTGTACAACTCATTTCCTCACCTTTTTCAGATCTTTGCCCAGATGCCCCTTCTCAATGAGGATTACCTTGACCACACTGTATAAAACCACAAACCCCTCTGCAATACCACCAATCCCCTTCACCTTGTTCTATTTTTCCCATAGCCCTTATGTTTTCTATTATACTGTCAATGTACTTCTGTTATTTATTGTTTGTCTTCTTTCACCAGAATACCATCTCCATACAGAGTTTGTATTCTAAGCCATTAGAAAAGTCCTGATAGTTAATGGACACTCAACAAATAATGGTTAAAAGGATGACATCATGATCTGAGATCTTTCAATATGTCGGGTGCTTTATAGGCTTACTTAATGGGTTGGGAAGGTTTTTTTTAACACTTTTATTTTTAGTTGACACCTACTAGTTGTACATATCTATGGGGCACAATGTGATATTTGTTTCAATACATGCATGTATTGCATAATGATCAAATCATGGTAATTAGCCTATTTATCACCTCAAACATCTACCATTTCTCTGGGGAGAGAAAATTAAGGATCTTCTTTTTTGTCTATCTTATAATATCTAATATAATATTATTAAATATAGTCACTCTGATGTGTAATAGAATATAGAAACTTATATGGCCCAGGAAATTGACATTCAAAAAGATTAACTAACCTACTAAAGGGTTATAGATACAGTAATCAATGAAACTAGGATTTAAATCTAGGACTGTCTGGTCCCAAATCTCCATGTCTGTATTCTAAACCATCCAACCTCCAATTTTCCTTAGTTGTAATGAGACATAGCACAAGATTTAATCACATATTATTATTAGATGCATAGAATAATGCATTATGCATCACATGCAAATGTGATCATTTTGTTGATTTTTCTATTGATTTTTAAGACTGGACACAGTCTATAACCATTTTTCCTTAGAGGTTTGTTCATGGATTAGACCATAACTTTTCTGAAAGTGAAATATTCCAAAGGTCTATCAATACAAAAAAAAAATCTAACAAATAGTAGGACAGTGTTTGTGGTTAAGCCATTGCTTTCTCTTTGAACATCTATATAATTCTTTCAGGCTGAATCTCTCAGAGGTCAACAAGTGCTCCATTTAGTGGAAAAGGATATTTAATTAAACCAATTGTTTGACTTTAGAGATAAAAGATGCAACTGTTTTTGAACAGAGCCTCAGTTATCCAATACCATATCAAAACTTGGTACTGGGGATTAAACCCAGGGGTGCTTTACCACTGAGCCACATCACCAACCCTTTTATTTTTTTTTATTTTGAGACAGAGTCTTGCTAAGTTGCTCAGAGCCTCAGTAAGTTGCCAAGGCTGGCCTTGAACTTGCAATCCTCCTGCCTTGGCCTCCTGAATCACTGGAATTACAGGTGTGTGCCACTGAGCCCAGCAAGATTTATGTCAATATTTAACATATTTGTGACCTTGTATTTTAGTTCCCTCTTCCTCAGCTTACAAAGGAACATAAAAATAATAAGCATCATAGCAAACATGACTTTATCTCAGCTAGAGAAGGGGCTGGGAATGTAGCTCACTTTTCTAGCAGGTGTGAGGCCCTGTGCCACAATCCCACCAAAAAATAAAAACAAAAGCAAACTACAGAAAAAGCTGGAAGTCAAGCAGTCCATAGTTATCATTCCATGAGGATCAAGTACACTGATGTTTCAGCACAATGCGTTTTCCTCTATAAATTTACTACGCATAAGTGCAGATCTTGTGGCATTCACACCCCTGTACAATGCGCACTAGAGAGCAGGATAAAAGTGACCCGCTAGGTTTAGCTCTAATGCATTTGTTTAGAGTGAGAGCATTGCTGAGGACATTCGCCTTATTCACTTTCCTTCCTTTGTTAGCAGGGTAGGGTAGCCGCCCTTCCCTCAGCATTGTTTTTGGGTTTGGGTGTTTTCAAAAATGCTGTTCCATCTGATACCTTCGCTGGATACTTTTTTTTTAGCCAGTCAATTCAAAATGATATTTAAGGTATTTGAACCAAAAAATGTTCCTGAAACCAAAAGTATTCAGAATGGTACCCATGATATATGATACCACACACTAAACTGTATGTTTAAAATTATCCAGATCCTTCTGTGTGTGTACTCAGCTGCTTTTTGAACTTGAAAAATTCAATCTTTCTTTGCTTTTTGTTTTGCAAAGTTATTTCTACTTTTCCCCCATAAGTTTGTCATTTGAGTTTAAAAGGTAACTGATTTTAAGTTCTAGTATTTGAGTAGTTGGTAATTTTTGTCCTAGATTTGCAAAAAGAAAAATATTAAATGGGGTCCCTTTTCCTTATTGAAATTGTTACATTCCTTTTTCCCCTTTCTTCTTAAAGTCCAATCAGGTTTTGTTGGCATAGCAAAATAAATACTTGTATTTATGTTGGGATCATAAATACAAATAGAGAAATGAAACTGGTCATGGAGGAGCTATCTTTCCCATGAAGAAGTTGTTTATTCCACATCTCTACTCGGCTCCCAAATTTGGGCATGGGGATTTCTGGTGCTAATATTTGGATCTCAAATACTTTTATTCCTCAAGAGTTTCAAAGAACACTTTGTTTATACACAGGATTGCAATTCGGGTATTAGATATGGAATTGTAAAGGTGTGTCACCACTAAATGGAAGCCTGGCATTATGAGTCCTTATCATTTAATCTTTCATCTACCCATGCATCACAATTAGTTAAACATCTGCTGACATGTAACCAGCATCATGCTATGTGCTGGAGACAAAGAGAAATAAGAAAATGTTTCTTTCTAGAGAGAGAAGATGGGAGGGGAGGGAGGGGGGATGGTAGAGGATAGGAAAGGTAGCAGAATACAACAGTTACTAATAGGGCATTACGTAAAAATGTGGATGTGTAACCGATGTGATTCTGCAATCTGTATTTGGGGTAAAATTGGGAGTTCATAACCAACTGGAATCTAATGTATGAAATATGATATGTCAAGAGAAAAAAAAAAAAAAAAAAGAAAATGTGCTCTTTTTATTAGAGAGGTGAGGAGGTAAACAGAAGACAAGTAAACTCTTGGAGAAAAGTGAAAGGTGTCCAAAGTTAGATTCTGGGCAGAGGGAAGACCAGCTTCCACTCACTCATGCTGGCTGAGAGGACCACTGAGCTGTGTTTTAGATGTGGACACATAGAAGCTAACTAATTAAGAGAATGAGTCAAAGGTGGAGGTAGTGAAGCAGAAGGGACATTGTACAGTCATAGCCCCTCATTTTCTATGTCGTCATAGACAAGGTGAATAAACTTTATAGGTATAGATTCTCTAGAAGATGACAGGTTGACATACTACCAAATTGTCACATAGAGGTTTATAAATTCCCAGTTTGTTTTATAAGGTACGTAGTATTTAAAGACCACACACACTCACACACACACACACACACAATCAATATATTTGTATCTCTGTATATTTATTAATGATCCTTAACTAGGTCATGGACATCAAATCTTTAATCTTTTCCATACATTAACAACTGTTGGTGATTCCAGAATCAGAGACATGGGCTTATTTTTAAACTTTTCTATTTATAAGTGGAATATACTGGGGAATATTGGTTGATATGTCAAAGAGTTTTCTTCAGGTGTAAACTGGTGGGAATAATGATTTCTTACAAATTTTTTACAGCAATATTAAATGAGTACTTAGTTTAACCTGGTCATGAAGCATAATAGCTACTTTCTTTGAAACTATATCAAATCTTACAGTCACATTGTTGTTTCTTTTGGTGTCTTCACATTTGCTGCATGAATCTTTTACACATATGACCTAATACTGTAATTGACTTATTCTAGAGAAAGACCAGCCTCTTCCTTCCCCATGACAAAGAAGCTATTGGATATCTTCATTTCCAACCTAGGAAAATTGAGGCAAGATGACCAGACTTGGGCAGGGCACCGATTCATCAGATGGTAACACTCCCTGTCTAGCAGACTTTCCATTAGGCTGACTGTGGAAATCATGGAAAAACGTCGTCTGATTCTTTGTCATTATGGAAATAGTCTATAAGCTTATCCAATTAGAACAGCCTCTGGGCTGAGCCATCACTCTAAAAGCTAGGGTGTGATCTAGTTATGTTAAAGTGGATTTACATGGCAGAGCGAGCAAGGAGCCAGCTGTCAGTGTGTCTGCCCTTCAGCCCATTTCACTATTAAGAGTGAGGGCTCTGAGGCTTTGCTGACTGACAGATTGGGTTCCAGATAATTGTAATTCTAGCTTGAAGATTTTGGGAATTACATGTTTAGAAAGATGCCAACTAAAAGTTAACTTCCAAAATATTTAATGGGTCTCTCTCTGGAGACATGGATGCTTTGCCAGTGTTTATTGTATGTCATAAGTGAGCCTTTAAAAAGGAACATAAGAAATAATAAAAAAAAACCCAAACATCTTATGTTTAGAAGTTTTGCCTTATTTTAACATTAAAACAAAACTTGGATACTTCATCATTAGATCCATCATACAAGTGAAATTCTTTTGTGTGCATACCCTGTATTTTCCTTCCCACCTTATCCCTCCTTCTGCTCCTCTCTTTCCCTCTTCTCTCTTTCCCTTTCCTTTTTGGTGAGATTCTAAGTGTAGGAGTTAGATTGCTTAATGTGTGCTCAGGGCAAAGACGGAAAGAATTGCATTATGTAGTCATGCAGTGGTGTGGGTGGGGTGAGATTTAAAAAAACAAAACAAAACACTAAGTTCCAAAAACTAGGATTGCCACAATAGATCTGTAGGGACCTTTTTAGAGCTGAAGGTTAACTAGAAATCTTACTTCCTCAGCAATTTGAAGGCTTAGAACATAGCCAGATAGTGACAGAGGTAGCTGCTCCTTTTTACCCGTATCAGTTTTAAAAAACATCAGCAATACAAATCTTTCTTTGTATATGTTTAATTTTAATCTTAGAGCATAAAAATGTTTTCAGAAGAAAACTTGAAGACTATTTAAGTGTAAGTTTCCTTCCAAGTGAAATTCCAAAGAGCAGGCTGCTTTCTTCCTCATGGACCTTTGAATTCTTAAAAAATGAAATCTGAAGCTATTGTGGTACCCCCATAGTAACCAGCCCTTTAAAAGTAGTCCCTGAATAGAGTAAGAATAGTAATTCATTTGGGAAACAAAGGTCAAGCTAGATGAATATCTCTGGCTAATTTTGTTCACAGCTTTATTAACTTACTATGCTTTGACCATTTGACAATTTGATTTTATCAAGCTCTATTCTTATTGCCTTCCTTTATTTACATGTGTCTTTTAGAAATGGATATGAATGAAATAAAAATCTCAACTGCTTAGGGTGTGGGGCAGGTCCATTTTCCTTTCTTTTAATTTACTAACTCTGTCTTTGTGGGGAATCAAGAAAGAGTATCTTACTATGGCCTAGTGGATGATTATATTTCTGGGAGCTACTGAAGGTAGAAAGCTTCTTGAGCAATGCAAACACCTTGGTTTTGTGTTGAGCTTTGTGTGACTGCTGGGTCATCTCCACCTTCCCACAAATCTACCAAATGCAAATGTACAGGCTGACAATGGAAAGCAAACAAATGGTATGCATTAGGTACACAAGAGTGGGAAAGGTACAGAGGCTTTCATAAGCCATTACAAATGGTAGCCTCCAAATGCCAAGCTATTTATAAAGAGGAGAAGCCGTGACTTCCTAACACAGGGCCTGAAATAAAGACGGGTTTGTCCACAAAAAAGAATGTAACTATTCAGTTCTGTGCATTTGTTTATTGATGATCTCTTTTTCCCTTACGTCTTGACATTCCACCAGAGCAGACTTCATGATCTCCCCTTGGGAAACAACTCTGAGTTTAGCTTTATTTACAAGCTCCATTATACTACAGAGCGAAATGTTCTAGCTGATAGAATAGATGTTACATGGCAGCCCACTGACCTCTCTATTTGGGAGAAATATTCACTCCTACAGAGAAGTCCTAAATGTTAGCTGATTCATGTTCATTTTTTTTTCTTTCTTTTTTTTTATTTGCTGAAACTCAAGCTACCAACTTTAGTTGACTTCTTTGTTTTTTAATCAGTAGGTGTTTTCTCTATTTCATGTAAGATTTGTCAGTAAATGAGGAATTTTGGACTACTAATCTGAGCTTTCATATTCCTTACCTTCATTTGCTTCCAAGGCACCAAGTTCACGTTAAAAGTTTCACCTTTGCAGGAAAACTGTGGTGTAGGGTAGGAGGAAACCTAATCTGCACACTCCTGAGGGGGATGCTATATTTTCAAGGCATTTGCCAGTGGGAGTCAAGGAGAAATAAGGAGATAATTGTGGAACTGATCCTTTATCCCTGGGACTCTGGGAACCTCTAGCAACATCCTGAATAGAGAACTCATCTTGATAAAGGAGATTGTTGAAAAGATGCATACCTGAGTCTGGGAAACTGCTCAGTTATTTGGGAGGAGTACTTTTATGTGTATGAGCCCAGTGTCTGATTTTAATGTGAAGGAAACTGACTTTAGTTCTGAGAAGAAAGAGCTGTAAAAATCAACAGAGGATACTTTCCTTCTAAAACACTTCTAAAGACCAAGCAAGACAGGATGCCTCAAATTGGTAAGCAGCCCTAAGCAGGAGTAAGTGGAGAACAGAGAGAAGGAGACCAGCATGATTGAATGAACAGTTGCTATAGAAGAGGTCACCATTGAATGGATAGAGAATTCCAGCAAAGGACTAGGAGAGTGTGGGAGCCTCTTGGGACTGAAAGGACTTCGACTTTTAGGAGAGGTGTGCCTTCGCAGGCTATGAGTTTGTTAGGATTTGGATGTGAGGTGTCCGCCAATCGCTCACGTGTGAGACAATGCGAGAAAGTTTGGAGGAGAAATGATTGGGTCATACCCTTAACCTAATCAGTGAATTAATCCCTGATGAAATTAACTGAGTGGTAACTGGAAGCAGGTGGTATGGCTGGAGGAAGTAGTTCATTGGGGACATGGCTATGGGGTATATATTTTGTATCTGAAGAGTAGAGTCTCTCTGTCTCTGCTTTCTGATCATCATGTGAGCTGGTTTTCTCTGCCACACTCTTCTGCCATCATGTCCTCACCTCAAGCCCTGAGGAATGGAACTGACCTTCTATGGACTAAGGCCTCTGAAACTGTGAGTCCTTAAGTAAACCTTTCCTCCTTTACAGTTGTCATATAGGGTCTTTCAGTCGCAGCAGTGAGAAAGCGGACACACTCTCACCATGATGTTCTGCCTCACTTGGAGCCTGGAGAAATGGAACTTGCTGTCTATGGATAGAGACCTCTGAAACCCTGAGCCCTTAATTAAACTTTTCCTCTCTAAAATTGTTCTGGTCAGATCCTTTTAGTCACAACAGTAAAAAAGCTAAGACAGAGCTCAACATGCAAAAATTAATTGCAGTTGGATGTTTAGGACTGGATTTGGGAAAGACCTTTCATTGTGCAGTGGCCATTGCAATAGTAAGATGTAAATTAAACACTACAGATAACAAAAATGATTTGAAGAAAAACTTGGATTTCCTAAAGTCATTTGGATAAAGTGTTATTATAACAGCTGAGAGTCCTTGCTTCCCACAGCAATATTATTGCAGCTTTTATTTCTGTTCTTGTCAATAGCTCTTGGTTCTTTTCACCAAACCAAGAAGTGCTAACACATTTAGAGCTTGTAGTCAACATTCTGACTCAAGCAGCATGCATAATTAATCCCATATCATGGCCAGTTTCACTTTTTCCTTTTCATCCAAATGTGCATAAAATTCTTGGTGGCTGCCTCTATGGATCCTCACTATTTAAATGCAGCCCATTTTGTCCACCCCCTTCCACCCTTCCTCCCTTTAACCACAGAAAACATAACTAATTATGTTTCTTGGGGAAAACATAACTAAATGAGTCTAGATATATTTAGTAGTTTATCACCTTTCCAGGTGTTTAGGTCAAATGAATGATATATTTAGTGGGGAAAACACTTCCCACAGTCTAAAATGGAATGCGAGCTTAATCAAGCATTCATGCTTTACTGAGTGGCCAGTACTACTAAAAAAAAGTGATCCTTTCCCTAAGGAAGGAGCTTGAAATCAGTAGGCCTGCTATGGAAATTTTATTCTACATACCACCTGTGTGTTAGCTGGTCATTTGTGTGTGCCTGTGTGGTTAGTTTGAAAGGATGGAATTACTTGGAGTTGCTGGGAATCATATGTTAACTTCACGTTCTGTTCACAGGATGAAACCTTTCAGTGCCATTCACCTTAAGATCATTATTGCTGTGGCTTGGTTAATTTTATGCCTTCAACAAAAATTTATAGTGCACCATGAATCAGGTACTGGATAAGGTTGGGGTAGAAAGCTGAGCAACATGGGCATGTGTCTGCTCTCTTGGACCTTAGATTTTGTGGTGAAAGACAAGAGAAAAGTGAACAAAGTTCTGGATTAAATGCTATAGAGAAAACAAAGCAGGGTTTTTAAGAGGTTTAATGGTTAGGGCTTGGGGGGCGATGGTGGGATGTGCTGTTAACTTAGAGAGGTCAAGGAAGCCTTTCTGAGGAGATAACATTTGAATTTTTCCGAGCTGAAAACTTGGTTTCTTTCTGAAGCAGATTCCTCTTTTCATAGTTATGGACTTATAAATTTTAACTAAGTACTTTGTTATGATTTGTTCCTTTATAAGTTATGCAAACATTTTTTTTCTTTTGCCCTGTAAACACTTAATGAGCATGAAAATTGAGCATAGAGAAGAATTTATTTCCTTTAAAAAATTAGACTAAATATCTCACAACTAGGGGAGATCGCCTCCAGGTAATTGGTGGTACTTTAAGAAAAGAAAAAAGAAAAGACTTAAGATTTTTATAGTCAGGCTCCAGCTATAAGCATAATTATTTCAGAGATAATAAATTCCTCTCCCCAATGAAAAGTGACTTTCCTTTTAGTAATTCCATGGGCTTATGTCTTTTTGAAGGCTTCCCACTCAAAGAAATTACTAAAGAATTTATCTCAGTTCTGCAGAAGTGGTCTACATGAAAAGAGAAATAATTTAGGTAATTCTTACATCTAACAGAGCCAACAGCTTCCTCAGAAAATGCATCTCACCCAGTGTCTTCACTGTCAAATCAAACGACCTTTTTTTTTTTTTTGTCTTTATTCACTTCAACCAGTTACATGGGCATTGGATTCTGGGGTGAGCCTCTGGAGTTAGAGTTGTTGTACTCTGGAATCCATTACGTGGTTTCCAGTGGACAGATAGTTAACTGCTGTCCTCATGCCCGCTTCTTAGCTTTAGAATTTCTTCTTATCCTTCCAAGGCCTCTTGAAAGCATATCTCCTCTCTGAAGCCTGACAGGGCTAATAGAACTAATCCTTCTCTTGTATGTGACTCCATAGCACATTGTGCTACTTTAATGATTAACAAATAGTAAGCAAATATTAACTAATAATAATTATGAATAAGAAGTAATTGAAAGTGGTTATTTTATTACTTATAAAATAATTATTATTTTTGTGTATATATTAAGTAATGAAATAAATGTTAGAGCGTAAATCTGCATAAGCATTGCTTGCTTGTTGAACTGTTAGTGTCAAATTAAGACATATTTTTGGTGAATTTTTTTTCACAGGTTTACAAAGGCCATTTGATGGCAGCAGCCCTGATTCATTTCACCAAAGGTAACAACTTAGCAATTGTTCTACATTTGGGTACAAAAGTAGCTGCCCCTGTGACATTACCATTTCTTTTTGAAGGCAAGGATCAATTTCACTCAGAGACAGGAGTATTTGTCACAGAGGAAGTATTTGATGGGGAGAGAAGGAAGCGGGGAAAGAGACCTCACTTGAATGCACTACTTTTCTTTCCTTCTGATTGCCTGGCCTGGGGGCATAAATAGAGAGTGCTAGAATATGCACCTTAAAATATATTGGCATCTCTAGCCATCCAGCTGTACATTCTTAAAATTTTGTTGTTATTATGAGTAAGCAGTCATTATGTGCCAGTTATTGCAATAAGTTCTTTGTCTTTTTTATTTAATTCTTGCAATGATACTATAAGATGGGTACTTTCCCATTTTTTTCCCACTGGACATGGAGACCAGAACAGTAAGATCTATCCAAAGTCACACACATAGCCTGCAGCAGTGAGAATTTAATTTCTGCCTGAAATTGGAGACTGAGCTCTATACACTATTCTCTAAAAGCTCTGGGTTTGCTTGGTCAGGGTGTGTTTCTTCTGGGGAAGCTTTAGCAACCTTGGGCAGCAGAAGGGCCCAAGATGGTGGCAGAGCAGATTCCAGAGAGATTCACATGTTAATTATCAGCTGGTCAAATTCCAAGAAAGAGAGAGCTTCTTTCAGTGTTTCCCAAGTTTTTTTTTTTTTTTAAATGTGGTCTTTTTTAATACTGCCCTTCAGCTGTCCAAAGCTCACTTGAACTCATTCACAGTTTTTCTCTTTCCTTCCTTCCTTCCTTCCTTCCTTTCTTTCTTTCTCTGGTGTTGGGGATTGAACCCAAGGTCTTGGGTATGCTAACCATGTGTTACATCCCAGCCCAGAGTTTCATTTCATCACATTTCTTTTCTCTTTCTTTCAAAAACAATTTAATTGAGGTATAATTCAGATATTACACAATCCACCCAAATAATTATAAATTCCAATTTTATTTTAGTATCTATACAGAGTTGTACGTTATCATCACAATTTTAGGACATTTATATTACCACCAAAGAAACCCCCTAACCCATAGTTATCACACTCAATCACCATACCTGTAACCCTAGGCAACCATTAATCTACTTTCTATTGACCTGTCACTTCTGGACATTTCATTTATGTAGAATCAAACAATATATGGCTTTGTTTTTTTTTTTTTTTGTGTACTGAGGATTGAACCCAGTCACATCCTACCACTGAGCCACATCCCATCCCTGTTTTCTTTAAATTTTATTTTGAGACAGGGTCTCACTAGGTTATGTTTGACTTATTTAGCATAATGAAAATTCCATCCAAGTTGTGGCATATATTAGAACTTTGCATATTTTAATTACCAAATACTATTCCATTGTTTGAATAGACAACATTTTATTTATTCATCAGTTGATAGACATTTGGATTGTTTCTACTTTTTGGCTATTTTGCATAAAGCTGATATAAACATCAGTCAGTATTTTCATTTTTTTCTGTTGAGAACTTCCACTTTCTCATTGGAAAGATCTGAGTTAGGGATCAGAAAGCCCTGGACTATTCTAATCACCACAATTTATACTAAGATATAGATGACTGATACAATAAATACATTTCAAAAGAAGAATGTTAAATAAATCTCTAATGGGTGAAGTCATTGAAGATAGTTTATTTTGAGAAATAAAGTCTTTTTCTTACACTGGCTGCCACCTGTCATTATTTTCTCTATACTGATGGAAATCCAAAGGAAGCAATTTAACAGCTGATCTTGAAAGCCTGCTGATCCTTTCAATATAACTGTGTTTAATCATTCCTCATTTTCTTCTGCTCACATTATATTTTTCTTTTCTACAATACCTTTCCTTGGGTAAAAAAGAAACAAACAAACAAAAAGATTATTATCCTGAATTTTGGATTACCCATAATTGTAACATCTGCATAATCTCTCCCCACTCTATGACGACCATTTCCTCCCTTCTAGCCCACTCCTGGAACAATGATCCAAAACATTTCCCAGATCCCATCTAGTTCTCAAGCCCATTAATTCTCCTACTTATCACTCTGTTACTCTCCTCCTAATGGGCTCTCTTCTCTCTTGACCAAGCTTAAATTCCTTTTCAACCATTTTAGTCACCCCCTTGCATATATCTTCAATTCCCTGCCTGGTTGGGCATCACTGTTCTTCCTTGCCAAAGCTGTAAGTCCATTTCTCTTGTCTACTGTGTATCTGGACCAATGAATGTGAACATGACAGGAGAAAAACCGATCTTGCCTTAATGTAAAATTTGAATAGAGTCCAAATGTAAATTAATTATTACGTACTTCAGGTGGGCCTCTGAGGCTTGTGCTTTATTCTTCTTTTTTGGGGTGGGGGTACTAGAGATGGAATTCAGGGCTACTCACCCACTGAGTCACATCCTCAGCCTTATTTTGTATTTTATTTAGAGACAGGGTCTCACTGAGTTTCTTATCACCTTGCTGTTACTGAGGCTGGCTTTGAACTCTCCATCATCCTGCCTTGGCCTCCAGAGACGCTGGGATTACAGGTATGCACCAGCCAGCTTGTGCTTCATGCTTAGTGCTGTCTGGAATTATGCTTCCCTAATCCATTTACTTTTTCCTCTTTTCTAGTTAATTTTTTTTTAGATCTCTTTTTTTAAACCTTATACCCCTTCTCCATCATTATCAATCACAACTGAAAGAAAATTCTTTAGACTCCAACCATTATATTTACCCATCTACCAGCATCTGCCTCCATAAACTTTATTGTATGTGCTTGTCTCTATTGCTGCTTCTTCCAGAGAAGCCTACTCCTTCTACTTGTGTGCTGGATCCCATCCTTTCTTATCTACTCAAGATAATTGTTCCAGCAATCCTCTGTCTCTCCTGATTCATCAGGTTTTCACCTTCTTGGAACATTATCATCCTTAATATTTATATAAATATACTATTACAAATATACCAATATACTTTTATATCTATTATATATAATATATATATATATATTAATACTTATTTTTTAGTTATAGTTGGACACAATAACTTTATTTTATTTATTTTTATGTGGTGCTGAGGATCGAACCCTGGGTCTCGCATATGTGAGGCAAGCACTCTACCGCTGAGCCACAACCCCAGCCCTATATTTCTTATATTAAAGCGATGTAAACCAAAGTTTCCTGCTGCCTCTCTCAAACTTGCCAGTTACCATCCCATTTTGGGCTTTTGTGGCAATATTTAGAAACAGTTGCCTCCATTCACTGCCTTGTTGAAATTTCCCCTGTGAGTGCAAATAATATCTTAAATCCAATATATCCCAAAATGGAACATCAGATCTTCAACTTAGCAGTACTTTATTCCCAGCCATCCCCTTCCCAGTTGATGGTGATACCACCTTTTTGATTGCTCAGGGTCAAATTCTAAGATACCCTGGAATTTTCTCTTTCTCTTATACCCTCATCAAGTCAGAAAATTCCATTTTTCCTACCTTTAAATCACTATATATTTTATTTGATCAATTCTTATTATCTCTACTATTAGCACCCTACTATGAGCAATTTATTTGTCTTTCACCCCTTAATTGGTTTTCCTGCTTCCATTCTTTCTCCATCCCACGTGTTTCAACAAAGCAGTTGAAATGATCATTCTAGAGCACAAACATGTCATTCATTTGTTCAGAACCTTTAGTATAAAAGCCAAAGTACTAACAGCGGTGTACAAAGTCCTGTACCAACTGAGCTGCCTCAGTCTCTTGATACTCTTCCTCTGATACTCGTACATGCCGACATGCTACACCTCAGAGTCTTTACACAGGCTTCTGTCTGGAATGCTGTTAAATACCCACATGGCCGGTCCCTCTCTTTCTGTAAGCATTCTTGGGCTTTCCCTTCTTAATAAGGTACACGCAGGCCACCCTATTTAACATGGTTTGACCTCTCCCCTGTGACCCTCCAAAATCATTCTGGTTTTGCACAGTGTTTGTCACCTAATACACTATGATTTCTCTATTTTAAAAATGTTTTGTTTTTTAATATCCACCCTACAATGTAAACTTCAGGAAGTCTGGCAATTTTGACTGTTTTGTTCAGAAGGTGCTCAGCAAATATCTGATCAAGAATTAATCTGAAACAGACATGTATTCAACATGGCCTATTAAATACATTGATCAAATCGCTCTACTAAATAATATTAATTGTCTTTGTAATTTTGGTACTGGAATCATTTATTTATTCTGATATTGTTTAAAAATATATTACTGTTTGTCAACACCATTACTGTGTTGGTATAAACTTTCATTAAAATGGTTGTTACTTTAAGAGTTTGCTATAGAAAAATTTTTGTTTTGGCTTGTATTATATTTAAAAGTACCATTCTTTTGATAACTAAAACCTTCTAGATCATGCATTTATTTTAACAAGAGAATTTTGAAACAGTGGCATTAGCTACGTGTCCTGGAATTTGGCGATGAGGACTCCCCGGAATCCTCCAACTGCTGTAGATCTAGCTGACAGCTAAGAATAGTGCAGAATGTAAACTTCTATAGAGCCAACTGTGAAAGGAATTTTTAGAAGCGAAGTGATACTATATGGCATTGTCAGAAAGCTTGGGCATGGCACTCTTTTAATTGCAAAGTAGTACATATTTTAATTATATGTTTACCATTCTAATTTCACACAGGAAAGCTTATGGGACTCCCTGCCTAACCCCCTAGGAGTCATATCCTTCATTTTCATTCATTTGTATATTAACATTATCATGAGAGGACACAGGGCAAGGCAATGTCTGACAAAGAACTTGTGTGTTTCGCCACATTTCGTGGGAGTACTTTCCAGGTTCCAAAGAAGCTTTTGCAAATTTATTCAGTATAAGATTATAAAATTTTCTGGCTTCATTGTGGACCTAGAATCCTCATGTTTTTGTTTTTTTTTCTTTTTTGCCACCTTCCAGAGCAGGTGGAATTTAGTCTAGTGGAATAAGCAACCTTGCTTCTGCTTTTCTTCTATCTGATCTTCCAGCATTCTTATTTCTCTTTTCATGTCTTGACTCTAGTCTCTGGTTTGCTCCTAGAGGATCCTTGAGACCTCTGCCCTCCTGGATCTACCCTCTTCTTCCACTCCAGTGGAAATCTGTTCTTATGTGGTTGATTATTAGGGGGAAAAGTCTACTTTTTTTTTCTTATAAAATAAGGAAATTGGTCTAGATGATTTTTAATCTAGTGTTGACAAACAAAAATATACTTGGTGTAAACTTTCATTGAAATGGTTGTTATTTTATGTGATTTTTATGATTTTGTGACTTTTATGACTCTCTCTTTTCTGGGCAAAATGAAAGCTACCTTCCAGGGGAAACTATGCCATTTCCACCCTGTTTGCCAAATTACTCCTTTTGTTGATCTCTCTCTCTAGAACTAAAATTTGAACATAAAATACTATTCTGTTTATAACACATTTTCTTTAAGGCAGTTCTGCCTTAGACTAAGTTTCAGGGTGTGGATTTCACGTTTCTAACTGGGGCTGGTAGGCAGTGTGGTGGTAAGATGCCTAGGCATTTCCCAGGCTCAGTAAAGGCTTTGCTTTACAGCCATCTCCACTGTCTCTATATTTGGGATCAGCATGGGACATGAGATCCTTAATAGGGTCACTGATTAAAAGGCGTAATATTATTGCAGATGGTTTCACAGACTCAGTTCTTGCAGACAGCCTTATGTAAAACGTGCTCTGGACTACAATAAAATGAATGAATGTCCACCCTGAAACCTGCAGGCCTCTACTGGGATTAATTGTTGGCAAACTCTCCCTAAGATCCTTGCCTATAAAACACCCAAGGGAGTGCAAAAGATGATAGTCATCACCCTGATGGAAAGCTGAGCTAATTTTGCCCGGATCTGGCCCTCTGGTTCCAGGGAGTCTAGCTATTTCAATCCTGTCACTTAGATGACACACCATAATGTCCATGTCAATTGTCAAGAGTGTGATCAGCTGCCGCAGTCTGGCTGGGCACAATCAGGAGCCACTTGTCAAAAGAAACTAACTTTATTTTTAGAACCACACACGCCAAACAAAACAGCCTCTCAGGAAAAACCCTCAGAGCCTCAACTGCCACCACCGGCTTTCCACAAGCCTCTCTCTCCCACACAAGCTTCTCTCCCTCTCCCACAATCCTCCTGCTCTTGAGGCCGATTGGCTGGGTCACGTGGGCGGAGCCAAAAAAGTCCCCCAATGAGCAGCTCCGTGGTCTGAAAGGGCAGGGAAACAGCCCAGTGAGCATCACCGCAGAGGAGCCAATCAGCTAGATGTTGCTGGGGCCGCTGTGAGCCAATCATCAGCCGGCAGCTGGAAGTTTGCTGGGGCCCCTTTGGCTGTGGCTCTCAACAATCAGCTGCTTATCAGGTGCTGATCCCCCAGCATTTTCTTTGCAGCTCACAGATATTTCTTGAAATTTAAAATGCCTTTTGAAACATGGGGACTTTCATTCTTTGTCATCTCTGCTCCGTAGCTGGTCAGTTGCTGTAGCCCGTGTGGGAGGACAGACAGCTTCAGACACATGAACCCTGCCTTGAGTCCTGTGGAGCCACAGAAGAAGATGAGCAAGTGACAGGTGCCTGGCCATAATGCACAGGCAGGACAACCACTCACAGCCAGGGCGAGGGGAAAGAAGCAGACCACCTGCAGAGGGAGCTCATTCAGTTTCATGTTATTTTCCAGAGTGTTCTTCTTTGTTTCTTTGTGACTGACAGACACCCACAGGCAATTTGATTTTAGCATAGCTTTCTGGGTTACCAAGGCAGCTTTATTCCCCACACCTGAAGAAAAGTCATAAAAAAATTCTGATATATCCCTAAAGAGCCTCAATGAAGGAAAATAAATTCTCAAAAGAGAAGTGATGGTTTGCTTCAAGGTTTCTCAGCACTAGATATTATTGTCTTTGTTATGGATTTGGGAGATGGGGGAAAGTTTCAAAATACTATTTTCCAGTTTAATTGTGGTTTCAGCACATGAGTAAAAGTGGAGAGTTAAAGTTAATTAGACATGAAGTGGCTTTGTGTCTAGTTAAGTAATAACTATCAAGGGTCTGGCATTTTCTCAGAAGGAGGAGTCAATAGCATCTAAGCAACCCCCACCCTCAACCCCCATGGTTATTCCTCAGGAACCAGCCTTGGTGGAGGCCATTACTGCTACTGCAGTGGTAATGGAAAGGAAAGGAAAGAAGGGAAAGCAGGCCCATTTCAAAGACCACCTGTGCAGGGCAGAACACTGGCCAGCAAGCTCACCTTTCAAGATTTCTCTGAAGACACTTGTCCTATCCTAGTCTCCTTTGTGATTCTTAATTGATGAAATGCTGAGGAGGAAATAATATTCTCATCTAGGGTTTCACTCATGATCCTAATGTGCACAATGTGGGTGAAGTCTGGAACACAACATAAGAAAAGGGCTTTGCATGTTAAATTAGTAGCAAAGAAAACATGCATAATATTTTAACATCACATTTCATTTTATTCTTTATAAAGAAAACCCATCCCTTATTCTACATCACTGGAACACTTTTATTTTGTTTTGTTTTAGACAAACCTTTCTCCTTTTCTTTCTCTTCACTGGAGTTGCCTTGCTCTGACTTGCTCACTCTTATAAAAGGCCTATTTATAACACATATAGCTCAGTGTGGATCGGAAACCCTGACTCATCCAGTCTCACTTTTAATAACTACCTTGCATGAATATTTGCCTTTTTGACAGTGCACAATCTACAAGAGAGGGAAGATGATCAGATTTAGGCATGATTTTTAAGAACTAGAAATAATTTTGTAATCATGATATGCTTAGCCTGTATGTTGGAGAAGTTTTCTGTCATTTAGCAGGCATTCTCAAGCATCAAATAATACTAATAATTATATCTCGTGAGAACTTGCTAGGCACCAGAACATGTAAATGCTTTACCTATATCAACACCTTCAATTCCCAGAACCACTGGGTGGGATAGGTTCTATTAGCATCACCTTGAGGGAGATGATTTCAGTTCAATAGCTAAAGAGGCAAGAAAACTGATTCTGAATAGTCTGGTGGATGCCCTTTTGGATCTAGTTGCCTTGGCCTGAGGTTTATTCTGGGAACAGTGGCTAAGTATGTAGGAATTAGAGCAAAATAACTTGAAATGCAAGTGTGAGGAAACTCTATGACCATGACTGTGATCTGTCAAGTATGGGTATCACCTTAGCAGCAGACAGTTGTCTCCTAATGGTGCTGGAACTCTGTTACAGTAAACCAAACATGGTGCCAGTGGACTGAGAGGCTCTTCCATTCTTTGTCTTCTCCAGGCACTTGTAAGAACAATTAAGCCCTGAATTGAATTGTGAAAGCCCCTGAAATTCTTGGACAACTCAGGGTTAGGATGGGCTGCCATTTTTTAAGAGGAAAAAACTAGTCTTCATGCTAAGCCAGGTATAGTTTCCAGCAACAAATTGGAAAGATAGAATAGAGATGACTATATTTATCCTAGAAGCTGGGAGAGAATCTACCTCTCTCTGTGGGTCACTGCCTTGTTCAGAAATCTCCAATGACATTCCAGTGCATTCAGCACCAAATTCCTCATATCAGCCTCCAAGGTACCTCACCTCTAGTTGTTTTGAGGTCTAATATAGATCTTTTGTTGGATCTGAGCAATCCCATTTCTGTTTCCTAAATATCTTAAGCTTCCCAATTTGAAGTGATGCTAATGATTTATTCTGAGGATCTTGAGAGGACCAAGCTCTCAAAGCTCATCTCTCCTCTCACATTTTCCTGTGAGAAATAAAATGAATCTGGGTGGCACCTTGATGATTCTTTTAGCACCCTGCCTGGAAGTCTCCTTGGATAGATCATCTAGTTCATTAGGCACTATTACTACAAGCAACACACTGCTAAATTTTCTGCCACAACAAATATACTCTTTTTTCGAGCTTTCAATGACACCTTCCTTCCTTCCTTCCTTCCTTCCTTCCTTCCTTCCCTCCTTCCTTCCCTCCGTCCCTCCCTCCCTCTCTCCTTCCTTTCTTCCTTCTTTCATTTTAATAGTCATTTTAGGTTCACAAAAAAGTTGAATGGAAAGTAGAGTTACCATATACCATCATTTCCCATAGGTGCAGAGCCTCCCCCATTATCTACTTCAGTACCACAGTGGCACATTTGTACAATCTGTGAGCTACTAGATGAATCATTACCAACCAAAGTCCACGATCTATCTTAGGGTTCACTCTTGGAGGGTTTGAAAAAATATATAAAGATATGTGCCCATGTTTATTGTATTATGCAGACTATTTTCACTGCCCTTAAACATTCACTGTCATCTGCCTGTTCATCTCTCTTTCTTTTTTAAATGACTCCATAGTTTTTTTTTCCCCCAGACTGTCATATAGTTGAATCATATAGTATATAGGCTTTTTAGATCACTTCTTCTACTTAGTAATATGCATTTAAGATTCTTCCATGGCTTGAGAAATCATTTCTTTTTAGCCCTTTGTCTGTGTTAGGCCACAGTTTTAGTTATCCATTTACTTTCTTTTAAATGCTTGTTGAAAGCCTCCTTATGTCCAACTTTTTTTTTTGCCTTCATTAAATTTCTTATAGCACATCAGGACTTTCTTAGCACTTTCTTCAAAGTCCCTTAAACTCTCACTAACTTTCTTTTTTAAAAAAATATTTATTTTTTAGGTGTCCTACTACAATGCCTTTATTTTCTTTATTTATTTTTATATGGTGCTAAGGATGGAACCCAGGGCCTTACACATGCCAGACGAGCACTCTACCACTGAGCCACAACCCCAGCCCCTCACTAACATTCTTTTCAAAGTACTTCCAGTTCTGCCTGTCACCCCAATCCCTAACTACTCCTTGATTTCTTGGATTTTTTTATAGTTGCATCCTTTTTCCACCTACCCAAATACCTGTGCCAGCCAGGGTTGGCTCAGAGAACTACACCCACATAAACACACACATATTCTTTAGAATATAAAACCAGCCACACACACATATACACAAACACACCACAACATAACTTTTTTAAGGATTTTGACCACACGATTGTAGAGCTGATTGCATAATTTATATGAAGCTGTCATTTCTGAATCTGGCAATGAATGGAGCTGTAAGTTTACAGGACAGGCAGCTGGTAAAGGAAGAAAGCGCTCACTAGTCCTGAAGACAAATTGGCACTGAATCTCTCTCCCTGACTCTAAGCCTATAATTTGATTGATGGATATGTTCTGCAGAAGCTGGAAGCCTTTGCCGTGGAGATACACATGCACTTGGCCCAGAAGTTGGAACAGCTAAAGCAGGTGGTCCAGCGGGAGGTGAAGATGTATGCTTGGCTGCTGCCCAGGCTAACCAAGTAAGCAACACCAGCAACACTTAGGAGCTGCAAGAGTCAATTGCACTTTGTACTCACCTTCTTGGAGCACAAAGACAACTGTTCCCATTCTGTCATGCAAATGACTCTTCTGCTCCAAATCCTCCTTGTCCTAGGCAGGGAAGGGAATCTGGGAAATATTGCTAAGTTGACACAATAGAAATCTACTACACTTGTCTCTATCTTGTCTTTTCCCCAATCCATAAATTCTTTATTTCTTTTTAAATGCAAGGATTGTTAGGTGGGACACAAAACTTTTGCAGATAGAATAGCCTATCAGAATTCAAGTGAATCTTTATTATTCCAGGACTTTCCCCTTGCATGTTCAACTTTTTTTTTTGCCTTCGTTAAATTTCTTATAGCAGTGATTTTCGACTCTTCTAGTCTTTTCAAATCCTTATTATCGCATTATACCATTCTTTTCTATAAACAATGAAAATTGCATTGAAGAGATATAGGCTGCACTGGTGGTTTTCAAACCTTACTGTGATTGAGACTCACTTGGAGGCTTTAATAAGACTACAATTGCTGGGTTAACCCCAGTAGTTTCTGATTCAGTAAGACTAGGTAGAGCATGAGAAGGTATCTTTCAGGCCCAGAATACCTAATGCAATCCTTTTTTTTTTTTCTTTCTTTCTTTTTTTTTTTTTAATTTTTTATTGTTGGTTGTTCAAAACATTACAAATTTCTTGACATATCATATTCCACACTTTGATTCAAGTGGGTTATGAACTCCCACCTTCACCCCATACACAGATTGCAGAATCACATCAGTTACACATCCATTGATTTACATATTGCCGTACTAGTGTCTGTTGTGCTCCGCTGCCTTTCCCATCCTCCACCCTCCCCCCTCCCCACCTCTCAGCTCCCCTCCCCTCCTCTCCCCTCCCCTCCTCTCTCTCTACCCCTCCACTGTATAACCCTGAGGGTCTCCTTCCATTTCCATGCAATTTCCCTTCTCTCTCCCTTTCCCTCCCACCTCTCATCCCTGTTAAATGTTAATCTTCTTCTCCTGCTCTTCGTCCCTACTCTGATCTTAGTTACTCTCCTTATATCAAAGAAGACATTTGGCATTTGTTTTTTAGGGATTGGCTAGCTTCACTTAGCATAATCTGCTCTAATGCCATCCATTTCCCTGCAAATTCTATGATTTTGTCATTTTTTAATGCAGAGTAATACTCCATTGTGTATAAATGCCACATTTTTTTTTATCCATTCGTCTATTGAAGGGCATCTAGGTTGGTTCCACAGTCTTGCTATTGTGAATTGTGCTGCTATGAACATCGATGTAGCAGTGTCCCTGTAGCATGCTCTTTTTAGGTCTTTAGGGAATAGACCAAGAAGGGGAATAGCTGGGTCAAATGGTGGCTCCATTCTCAGCTTTCCAAGAAATCTCCATACTGCTTTCCAAATTGGCTGCACCAATCTGCAGTCCCACCAGCAATGTACAAGTGTACCCTTTTCCCCACATCCTCACCAGCACTTGTTGTTGTTTGACTTCATAATGGCTGCCAATCTTACTGGAGTGAGATGGTATCTTAGGGTGGTTTTGATTTGCATTTCTCTGACAGCTAGAGATGGTGAGCATTTTTTCATGTACTCGTTGATTGACTGTATGTCCTCCTCTGAGAAGTGTCTGTTCAGGTCCTTGGCCCATTTGTTGATTGGGTTGTTTGTTCTCTTATTGTCTAATTTTTTGAGTTCTTTGTATACTCTGGATATTAGGGCTCTATCTGAAGTGTGAGGGTAAAGATTTGTTCCCAGGGTGTAGGCTCCCTATTTACCTCTCTTATTGTTTCTTTTGCTGAGAAAAAACTTTTTAGTTTGAGTAAGTCCCATTTGTTGATTCTAGTTATTAACTTTTGTGCTATGGGTGTCCTATTGAGGAATTTGGAGCCCGACCCCACCGAATGTAGATCATAGCCAACTTTTTCTTCTATCAGACGGCGTGTCTCTGATTTGATATCAAGCTCCTTGATCCATTTTGAATTGACTTTTGTGCATGGCGAGAGAAAGGGATTCAGTTTCATTTTGTTGCATATGGATTTCCAGGTTTCCCAGCACCATTTGTTGAAGATGCTATCCTTCCTCCATTGCATGCTTTTAGCCCCTTTATCAAATATAAGATAGTTGTAGTTTTGTGGATTGGTTTCTGTGTCCTCTATTCTGTACCATTGGTCCACCCCCCTGTTTTGGTACCAGTACCATGCTGTTTTTGTTACTATTGCTCTGTAGTATAGTTTGAAGTCTGGTATCGCTATACCGCCTGATTCACACTTCCTGCTTAGCATTGTTTTTGCTATTCTGGGTCTTTTATTTTTCCATATGAATTTCATGATTGCTTTCTCTATTTCTACAAGAAATGCCGTTGGGATTTTGATTGGCATTGCATTAAACCTATAGAGAACTTTTGGTAATATCGCCATTTTGATGATGTTAGTTCTGCCTATCCATGAACAGGGTATATTTTTCCATCTTCTAAGATCTTCTTCTATTTCTCTCTTTAGGTTTCTGTAGTTTTCATTGTATAAGTCTTTTACCTCTTTTGTTAGGTTGATTCCCAAGTATTTTAATTTTTTTGAAGATATTGTGAATGGAGTGGTTGTCCTCATTTCCATTTCAGAGGATTTGTCGCTGATATACAGGAATGCCTTTGATTTATGCGTGTTGATTTTATATCCTGCCACTTTGCTGAATTCATTTATTAGCTCTAATAGTTTCTTTGTAGAGCCTTTTGGGTCTGCTAGGTATAGAATCATATCATCTGCAAATAGTGATAATTTAAGTTCTTCTTTTCCTATTTTTATGCCTTTAATTTCTTTCGTCTGTCTAATTGCTCTGGCCAGTGTTTCCAGAACTATGTTGAACAGAAGTGGAGAGAGAGGGCATCCCTGTCTTGTTCCAGATTTTAGAGGGAATGCCTTCAGTTTTTCTCCATTCAGAATGATGCTAGCCTGAGGCTTAGCATAGATTGCTTTTACAATATTGAGGTATGTTCCTGTTATCCCTAGTTTTTCTAGAGTTTTGAACATAAAGGGATGCTGTACTTTGTCGAATGCTTTTTCCCCATCTATCGAGATGATCATATGGTTCTTATTTTTAAGTCTATTGATGTGGTGAATAACATTTATTGATTTCCGTATATTGAACCAGCCTTGCATCCCAGGGATGAATCCTACTTGATCATGGTGCACAATTTTTTTGATATGTTTTTGTATCCGATTCGCCAGAATTTTATTGAGGATTTTTGCATCTAGGTTCATTAGAGATATTGGTCTGTAGTTTTCTTTCTTTGAAGTGTCTTTGTCTGGTTTAGGTATCAGGGTGATGTTGGCCTCGTAGAATGAATTTGGAAGTTCTCCCTCTTTTTCTATTCCCTGAAGTAGCTTGAAAAGTATTGGTATTAGTTTTTCTTTAAAGGTTTTGTAAAATTCTGCTGTATACCCATCTGGTCCTGGGCTTTTCTTAGTTGGTAGTGTTTTTATGGTTTCTTCTATTTCCTCAATTGATATTGGTCTGTTTAGGTTGTCTATATCCTCCTGACTCAATCTGGGCAGATCATATGACTTAAGAAATTTATCTATGCCTTCACTATCTTCTAATTTATTGGAGTATAAGGATTCAAAATAGTTTTTGATTATCTTCTGTATTTCTGAAGTGTCTGTTGTGATATTGCCTTTTTCATCCCGTATGCTAGTAATTTGAGTTCTCTCTCTTCTTCTCTTCGCCAGCATCGCTAAGGGTCTGTCGATTTTGTTTATTTTTTCAAAGAACCAACTTTTAGTTTTGTCAATTTTTTCAATTGTTTCTTTTGTTTCGATTTCATTAATTTCAGCTCTGATTTTAATTATTTCTTGCCTTCTACTTCTTTTGCTGTTGTTTTGCTCTTCTTTTTCTAGGATTTTGAGATGAAGTATGAGATCATTTATTTGTTGGTTTTTTCTTTTTTTAAGGAATGAACTTCAAGCAATGAATTTTCCTCTTAGAACTGCTTTCAATGTGTCCCATAGATTTCAATATGTTGTGTCTGCGTTTTCATTTATCTCTAAGAATTTTTTAATTTCCTCCTTGATGTCTTCTATAACCCATTGATCATTCAGTAACCTATTGTTCATTCTCCAAGTGATGTATGCTTTTTCCTTCCTTCTTTTATCGTTGATTTTCAGTTTCATTCCATTATGATCAGATAAGATGCATGGTATTATCTCTACTCCTTTATATTGTCTAAGAGTTGCCCTGTGACATAATATATGATCTATTTTTGAGAAGGATCCATGTGCTGCTGAGAAAAAAGTATAACTGCTTGATGTTGGGTGGTATACTCTATATATGTCAATTAAGTCTAGGTTATTAATTGTGTTATTGAGTTCTATAGTTTCCTTATTCAACTTTTGTTTGGAAGATCTGTCCAGTGGCGAGAGAGGTGTGTTGAAGTCTCCCATGATTATGGTATGGTGGTCTATTAGACTCTTGAACTTGAGAAGAGTTTGTTTGACGAACATAGCTGCACCATTGTTTGGGGCATAAATATTTATGATTGTTATGTCTTGTTGGTGTATGGTTCCCTTAAGCAGTATGTAGTGTCCCTCTTTATCCCTTTTGATTAACTTTGGCTTGAAATCTATTTTATTTGATATGAGTATGGACACTCCTGCTTGTTTCCGAAGTCCATATGAGTGATATGATTTTTCCCAACCTTTCACCTTCAGCCTATGTATGTCTTTTCCTATCAAATGCGTCTCCTGTAGGCAGCATATTGTTGGGTCTTGTTTTGTGATCCATTCTACTAGCCTGTGTCTCTTAATTGGTGAGTTTAAGCCATTAACATTTAGGGTTATTATTGAGATATGGGTTGTTGTTCCAGCCATATTTGTTTATTTCTGTTACTAAACATGGTTTGTTTTCCTCTTTGATTATTCCCCCCCCCCTTTACTGTCCTACCTCCCACTGTTGGTTTTCATTGTTATTTTCCATTTCCTCTTCCTGTAATGTTTTGCCAAGGATGTTTTGGAGAGATGGTTTTCTAGCTGCGAATTCTTTAAACTTTTGTTTATCGTGGAAGGTTTTAATTTCATCTTCCATCCTGAAGCTTAATTTCGCTGGATACACAATTCTTGGTTGGAACCCATTTTCTTTCAGTGTTTGAAATATGTTATTCCAGGATCTTCTAGCTTTCAGAGTCTGTGTTGAAAGATTAGCTGTTATCCTGATTGGCTTACCCCTAAATGTAATCTGCTTCCTTTCTCTTGTAGCTTTTAAAATTCTCTCCTTATTCTGTATGTTGGGCATCTTCATTATAATGTGTCTAGGTGTGGATCTCTTATGATTTTGCACATTCGGCGTCCTGTAGGCTTCTAGGATTTGGGATTCTGTCTCATTCTTCAAGTCTGGGAAGTTTTCTCGTATTATTTCATTGAATAGACTGCTCATTCCTTTGGTTTGGAGCTCTGTACCTTCCTGTATCCCAATGACTCTTAGGTTTGGTCTCTTAATGTTATCCCATATTTCTTGGATGTTCTGCTCATGGTTTCTTAACAGTCTTGCTGAGCTGTCCATGTTCTTTTCCAGTTGAAATACTTTGTCTTCATTGTCTGATGTTCTATCTTCTAAGTGTTCTACTCTGCTGGTAGTATTCTCCATTGAGTTTTTAAGTTGGTTTATTGCTTCCTGCATTTCTAGGATTTCTGTTTGTTTGTTTTTTATAAGCTCTATCTCCCTGTATAGTTGATCCTTTGCTTCCTGGATTTGTTTGCGTAATTCATTGTCGAAGTGATCTTTCATTGTCTGATTTTGCTGTCTAATGTCTTCC